GTTGGGTATCTTAATGAAATCGGTCATGCTGCTCTCCATAAAAATGGCCGCTGCACAGAGGACCATCTGCTGATCGTCCCGCAGTCCCGCCCCTTGTTTATATGGGAGGAGCCTTGCTGCTTGACAGATGGCACCCCATGTCTGGTTATTGGCTGCGTACTAAGCATTTTTGCGCCCCCCACTTCTACTGAGGCATCCAAGGCGGTTGCCTCTTCTGCCTACCCCTTGGCCCGGCCTGTCCCTGATAGTAACTACAACGCAAGCTTTACCAAACCCCTTTGTACTATGAAGTGTGATGACAGGGTCTCTTTGGCCCGGGCGGGGGAGGGGGTTGCAATACATCATAAGTTTTGTTCTGTAAAGGACAACAAGAGACGCATGACCCCAGAGGCGGTCAGTGCTTCTACAGGGTGTGGTCACCGTTTTGGATAACCATGTGACCAGAAACCACCAGCCGATTGGATATGAGAATGGTAGCCGGGAACAACTAACCAATCGCTGCATGGTCCCCTAGTCACATGATCAGGTGGTTTTGGTGGCATTGTTGGGTTTATATACCAGACAGATGATGGCCGGGCTTGGTGTTCCCTCCGGGGTCACATGACAGGTGATGGTAGTGATATATCTCCATCTATAATAATAATTCCCTGATAGGCGGGGACCAAGGTAAATCCATGTTAGGGGGAGGGGAGGGGGGCTGATACTTTTACCCTGATTTAAAACTTCAACTGTATTAAGAAATGGAGTCTACGGATAGAGATGACAGGTGACTGTATGTTGGTACAGATCTGTATGCGGAGAACACTGAATCCTGATTGGCTGGATTCCCAGATTGGATGGTTCCCTGTTCAGACAGATCTTCATCTGGAGGGTCCATGAGTCCCGTCATCCCTCACTATGGAGGACTATGGCGACTGGGTCTTCTCTCACCCACACCGGTGTCACCCAGAGGAAAGGGTTAAAGTGTCACTGAATGCTAAACCGACTAGATTCCTACAGAGCGTCCTGGCACAGGGCGGAGGAGCATCGCCTCAGGTGAGCCGGAGGAGGGGAGGGAGGGGAATGATAATGACAAGCTGCACTATGTACACTATCAAAGCCGCTCAGCCAATCACAGACTACTGACAGCAACATGGAGAGTCTGCGCTACATTGTTCCTCAGTCACTTTGTCACCAGGACTCCAAAGCAACACCGGTTGCCCCCTCTGCCACAAGGGTACCATCATGACCTGGTCTATCCTCCTGCCATGCATTGCAGCCATGCTCTTGTGCCCTGCGCCGTCTGCCCAGGAGACCCCATTCCGGAGGGTGTTGGACCTGCTCGCTCCCGGAGACTCTTCTCTCAATCGTAGCTCGGTGACGGCTCTTATAAAGCGGCTGGAGGACCGTGTGCAGTGCGGAAACGTGTCGTGTGAAAAGGTGAGCGATGAGGATCAGAAAGAGAACTGAGTGCAAAAAGAGAGAAATCTCGGTGACCGAGAGAGAGCAAAGTGCAGAGAGAGAGCCATAAAATGAATCACCGTACCCTAAGACCAGATAAGGGCGCAGGAATGACCAGGGGTGAGGGTGGGGGGTCTACAATGACTACAGGGTGAGAGGTCTACAATGACTACAGGGTGAGGGGTCTACAATGACTATAGGGTGAGGGGTCTACAATGACTACAGGGTGAGGGGTCTACAATGACTACAGGGTGAGGGGTCTACAATGACTATAGGGTGAGGGGCCCGGGTGGATTTGTTATGGGGTGAGGGGCCCGGGGGGATTTGTTATGGGGTGAGGGGCCCGGGTGGGGCCCCTGTGATGCGCCCCGCGTGTGCGGTTATTTGTAGGATGGAGTTGGAGGTGACTATTATATAAGAATGAGATGTTCCGTCACTCCCGGGTAATTATCTGTAATGAGGATCATTATGGGGCCCCGACCCGTCATTACTGCGTCTCTCCCAATCGTAGACTATAAATAACAGACGTCATTCCCCTCAGACCGGTAATTCTACCCATAATCCTCTGTAATTGGGGCCACGGCGCGGGACGCGGTCACATGACTATCCTGCAGGAGCATAAAGCTGCGGAACCATCATGGCCGCCACCTGAGCATTATCTCCGTCATTGTGGAGCCGCATCTCATTAGCCCCGTAAGAATGACCATTACAGGGGTCACCTCCCCCTCACCGTTACAGGGGCCCGAGGAGCCAGAGTCAGGGGCCACAACAAACCCTCTCAGAGCCTCGGCCACACCTTTTATACTGCAATATGTCTATAAATATCACCGGTCATGCGGCAATGTGTGCCAGATAATAATACACAATGTACACAACGATGAGCCCGGAATCCAACATTGCGCAATCCCCTAATCTGAGGAACGAAACTCCCAGGAGATAATAACTCATTATATACCGATAATATCCGGAATACAAAAACAAAAATAGAGAAATGCGGCTTTAAAAGTGTCCCCGGATGCAAGGAGACCCGGTTCAG